CAATTATCCATTGGATATGCAATATTGGTTCTTCTCATTTCCTTTATGGCTCTTGGACATTTTACTTTTCATTAATAGAGAGAATAAATAGAAAATAGGGAGATAATACTCAAATCAATCAATTTAATAATATTGGCTAGCATTAGTAAAAAAAGAATTTGAATTAAGTGATAATTTGATATCTTAACATTGGAACACATTTTCATTATTCATACAGCTTTTATCTCTATTAGTCACGGAAAATTAACAGTTGGTTTTACCTGGGCATGTTTTGGTGAGACAGTGTGGAAAATATAAGAAAGGGAGAAAACACAAGTCAGAGAGCAGGATGAGAGAGAGATACAAAGGAAAAGGCTCCTTGACTTTTTCAATAAACTGAGGGTTACTTGGAGTAACATAGTAACAAGTGCCTGGTTTCTATTTGTACAACTTGAAAAAAGAAGAAAGAATTTAACTTAAAGCTAAAATCTAATTTTTTGGTAAAATATTTGTATACTCAATTATTCTCCTCTTTAAACTTTATAAAGATGACTCTTAAGAATTGCTACCTAGAGTAAAAAAATTCTCCAAGAAACTGATTTCCCTATTACTAAAAATATAGAATACAGAGTCACAGAACCTACATATTATCAGGATCTCCATCACCCAAAAGAGGAATCCTCTTAACATCTTTTGTTACCGAGTTATTCTGTGTGTGCCTGAATATAGACAGACCCAGCAGGAGTGTTCAGGCCACTGCGTTAAAAAAACAGCACGGTGTATTGCAGAGTCCAAGCTTTGAAGCTACCAAGACCCTATTCCAATTCTAACTCTACCAACTAGTAGCTGTACCACTATGAAAAAACCCTCAGTTGCTGCACTTCTAGGGAAAACAAAGAGAAAATCTCTTCAGGTTGTTTTACAGATTAAATGAGATCACATAGGAAAGGCACCTTGCAAAATGCCTGGCCCTGAATATTTATTAATGCCCCTTATTCCTGAAAACATCCGCTCAGGTGACAATGAACTCTGATTTCTTTACAAAAATAGGCAAACAGAAAAACTCATAAGCAATCTTCCACTTGGTATATGATATGTTTCTTGGTATATGAAATGCTGAGTAAC